CCCAGATTTATGTCTAGCAGTGTACTCCTGCCGTTCTGTCGAATCTACAGAAATCTGTTACACCGATCCTAGCACTCTCTCAGTGGTGTGAGAGGTCTTGGACGACCCTTTGATAAAGATTTTAGGATTAAGTGAATCAGGAAATAAAATGAAAATGTAGTATATTCTGGGGTAAATCTAGCCCTAGTCTGTCCATCTTTGGAGAAGCAAGATGTCAACACATGCCTGTAAACCTTGCTGAGAAAACCCCTGCCAGTCTCTGTTCTCGTGAGAGGGGAATCGACTCAGGACGGCTCACCTGTGTGGTGGTCCTACAGCGCCCCTTCCTAGAGAAGAGTCGTCAGTACAGAGTACTCTTTATTCCAGTGTGCCAACTCTAGGCCTTGTATTTGCTACATTCGAAAACGCGTTAAGAGATCTGCCTCTTCTCTAGAATTAGTCCTGAGCAGCTACGTGGCAGGGCCCACCCTTTTTAACCCCCCATCCGCGCTGTGGGCCGTGACAAGGAAAAGGCCTCATCCAGTGGTTGTGTGTGTGATTGACCTTGGCTCTTATTTATGGGTCTCCTCCCTAAAGATTCTCAGTCACGTCAAAACCAGCTCAGTGGAGGTCAGTAGGAGATTGGCTAAATAGAATATGCCACATCTGTAGGACCAAATGTATGTAGCCATTAACAATTTATGTTGTTGTTAATATCTAATAATAGGAAAAATACTTCCTAATGCATCATGAAATGAAAAAACAGGCTATTACACAGTGTATGTGCTGTGATTCCTCCTATTTTTTAAATAATCATGTATGTGTGTATAGAGAGGAGAGGCGAAGGGGAAACAGCAAAATGTCACCGTGGGATAGTAGCGTTCTTACCAGTGATTTGTCCTTTAGAGGTTTTCTATATTTTTCAAATCTTTTGTCTTGGTGGTTTTATATTTGTAGTTTGAAAAGTCAACAAATAGACTTAACAGTCCCTCTTGCAGTGTTTCTCCCATTTAAAAATAACAACGGAGCCTAAAAATAATGTAACATATACTGAAACATACAGTATGGGGAGGGGGGCGGGAAACAGGCGGCCGAACAGCCCAAACCCTGCAGGTGCGGAGGCGGCGGCTGCAGGGACGGGACCCGCGGGGCCCGGGACCCAGGGTCGCGACGCCCCGAGGCCCCCGGGCCTCCCCCCGTGGCCC